GGATGTCACGCTGCGGGTCCCGTGAGGCCCGGATGTTACGCCGCGGGTCCCGTGAGGCCCGGATGTCACACCGCGGGTCCCGTGAGGCCCGGATGTCACGCCGCGCGTAGTGACCAGGGTTGGACATCTACTCCCTTGGCCCTAGAAGAGCTGTGCAAGGATCTCTGCTGAAATCCCTTTGGCACGGAATGACTTGAACTCTAATGGAATTACCTTCCCATCTCTGTCATTCACTTAGGATTTCCCAGATATCCCCCTTCCAGACACTTGAGTATATTGGCACATTTGCCTACTTTTCAGAAGTGATTATACTCCTCGCAGCCATGGAGGCCGAGTAGGAAAACGTCCACAATAAAGCATTTGTCAAGAGGTATTGATATAGTGCAGATGGGAGGAGGCCTTCCAGTTTTGCTTTCTAAAATTGTGTTTTGTTTAAGTATTTATAATCGAACATTTATTTATACAACATATTGCATTATATGTGTGTGGTTTATTTATGCTACAGGGAGCAAACCCAGGACCTGGCTCTTGTAGCTGTCGCCCACACGTTCCCAGGCCTTCATGGTCACTTCCAAAACAAGTTAGACTACAAAAGGCAGATTGACAGCAGCTGTGGGTAGCCATCCGTGTCCTCTGAGTCGGGCCCTTGCTAGACAGCGGGCTGTGTGCGCGTGCTCACGGGGCACGTGAAGATGTCCGAAGACTAACACTGTGAGTCTGTTAGCGGTTTTTAGTATTTGTCTTGGTGTGAAAGGAAAGATCTCTGAAAAGACTTGGAAAACTGAGGAGGCTTGGGGGGTGTTGCTTGTCCTTTTTTTGAGTTTTTGGTACTGGGAATCAAACTTAGGACCCTGCACTTGCCAGGCTGGAGCTTGTGCTGCTGGGCTCCATCTCTGGCCCTTTAAGAGACGTAGAAGAGAAAGAAAGGAGCAGCCCCGGTATTACCTGGTGATCTCGGATGCGCTCCGCTCCCAGGATGGGTCTGCCTTGTCTACCTACAAATAATTCAGCCAAAACCCCTTATTACCAAATCATCGAACATAGTTGCCTAGAATTCTTTGTCATAAACACTTAGAAAGTACATATTTCATAATTTTCCTCAAATATTTTGATTTAAAGTAAATAAATTGACTATGTTACTGTTAGTTAATGTCAAAAATAAAACTGCGTACAGTTAGGTACTATGTAAGGACCAAAGATTTAACTCTAGAACATTCTCCTTAAATCTTTCAGATTTAGATATAAGAAAGGATTACCAAAGATACTGAAAATACAGAACATGGAAGTTGTTTGGTTCTTATTTATGAAAACTGTATTTCCCCTCTTTTGGGATGGAGGTTTTTTTAAGAACTTGGAATCGAACTCAGGACCTCAAGCTGTCCAGGCAGGCGCGGTGCCACTAGAGCCATCTCACTGGTCCTCCCCCTCTCTTTCTGTACTCTCACACATCACTGTGCTTTATGTAGGGCACAGGCTGCTGCTGAATTTGGTAACAGTCCCGCTGCTGGCCTGTCAGAACTGATGGTCTGAGGAGTCACGGTGCCAGAGGCAGACATCACCACGCCCGCACTCCCTGTGCCTCTGTCTCAGGAGTCGTCCTCCAGGCCCCAAAGCTCAGACTGCAAGCTCTTTCATTTCATTCCTCCTCAATCCAAACAGAAGAAGCCAGTTCAGAGGGATTGTTTGAAAAGAGCTGCAGACACTTGTGGTTGCCGCATTGGGTCGAAGGCTTGGTTGCTGCTGGCCTTTGTGGAGGTGGCTGGGTGGAAAGGCCTCACCTGATGGCACCACTGGGATGCAAAGCAGCAGCAGGCGAGAGCTGAAGGGAATGGGCCACAGCCGGGCTGTGCCTGTCTCTGGTACCCTCCGCTTTGGCGCTTGTCCTCCTGTCTGCTTCCTGGGTGCCAGGAAGGGAGCAGCACCACTCCACCATGGCGCTTCTCCCCCACACTGCTGACCGGAAGCTCTGGATCAAGAGCCAAAGCAAACCTTTCTCCCTTTAATTTGTGTGTCTGATATCTTCTTCTAGCAACAGGAGAGCTGACTGAGACACAAACCCACACCAAGTCTGGAAACTATAAAAGCAAAAAGCTTATGAAGTGACAATGTGCTAGTCAGCTTTCCATGACTGTGACAAAATACCTGAAGTAATCAGCTTAGGAAAAGAAACAGTTTGTACTCACAATTTCAGAAGTCATAGTTCATGGTCTCTGGGCCCTGATGCTGTGGTGGCTCTGTGCCTCATGGTGTGGCCATGTACAGTGAGGAAAGCTGTTCACCACACGGAAGCCACAGAACAAAGAGCAAAAGGAGTGGCCAGGGCTCCTAGGAGGCCTAACTCCAAAGAGGGCTCACTTCTACCTTTCAGCAGCACCATCGCCTGGGGACCATTAATGCATGAGCCTTCAGGGGACATTTCACATACAAATTACTACCCAGAAACAGGGTTTTTTACTGTATAAAGTAACTCAGTCTTCACAGTTAGAGACCAAAGTGTTGCAGTTCTTTAAGCATCCTGTCCCAAAAAAATACAGTGCTTGCCAGTTGTGCATGTTAAACATTTTGTTTGGTTTTTAACGTAACTCAACATAATCACCTAAACATCCAACATCTTGGCATCCATCTGCCCTCATGATGCCTCTTGATCTTAAAAAGTGTTGGGAGCCAGCAAGATAGCTCAGCAGGCCAAGATGCCTGCTTAAGCAAGCTTAGGCAAGGGCAAGGACTGGGCTTCGACCCCCAGCATCACATGTGTGCCAGCCCCACCCCCAGGGAGGGCTGAGCCAGCCACAGGGTCCAGGCCTAGTGACGTGTGCCTGTAATCCCAGGCTGAAAACAGGAGGATCATAAGTCCAAGCTGCATATACCAAATACATTAAAAAGTAATAATCATAAAAAAAGAACTATTGTCACTTTTACACTCTGAGCGTCTCGTGTGCGGTCCTGCCGATGGGCTCATCCTGGTGTGCGCCCCATGAGCGTGACGCCTCCTGCCTGGCCCTGCCTTTCCGTCCTGGACTGGCGAGGCATGGGCAGTTGTGAGTGGGTGCAGGACTCTCCCCGCCCCCTTGGTGGTCAGACCCCATGGAGGGGATGCTCTTGTCCCCAAACCAACCCAGGGATCTTGTGCTTCTGGTTGCTGTTCCTTCCAAGTCCTGCTATGTTTTCCCCTTAATGCTATCGGGTACCTCCTCTCCCCTTCTCGTAACTCAGCACCTCATTTTGTAAAACGCCTTTGTTCTGTGTTTTTTCAAGTTGTATGAATTTAAAAATATATATATATTTATTTATTTAGTGTGTGGCCAGCTCAGTCCACCAGGGGGCGGGCTGGCTGGCATGTGGTGCTGGGGGATTGAACCACGGTACCTGTGCTTTGCTTAGCTTAGCTTGTTCTAAGTAGGTGCTTTAGACCACTGAGCCATCTCATCAGCCCTGTATGAATTTTAAGAAACAGACCTGTCATAAAACTAATCTTCTTAACCAGCATTAGGGGTGCAGGTGAGTGTGCTCTGGACACGGGCGGCACTGTGCGGCCAGCGCCATGCTTCCTTTCAAGTCTTTTTTTCTCCTAAGACTAGAACTCTGACCCACTTTTCCCTGCTGCAGGCTCCGATGATCAGTCTCTATGCTGCCTTCTGTCTGTAAACTTCCCTCCTGGCGGGACTCCACCTAATGCAGCCACACGGTGCCTGCCTTTCGTGAGGGGCATATTTTGCTTAGTAGTGTGTCCTTGAGTTGCATCCATATTGGTGCGTGCATACTGCTCTTCCACTTCAAGGCTGAGTGATACTCCACAGGTGCAGGTGCTGTAGTTTGCAGAGCCAGCACTTCAGTCGTCCCAGCTTTCCACTGTCGTGAGCAATGCTACAGTTGTTTTGGATATACACGCAGTGGAGGAATTACTGGAATACGGGGCGGTTCTATTAAAAATATTTTTGGGGTGCTGTTAGACTATTTTGTATGGACACTGCACCAGTAACAGTTCAACAGCGCAGTGATTAATTTCTCTTCATCCTCACCTAACTTATTTCTGTTTTATTGTCTGTCTGTCTGTCTGTCTGTCTGCCTGCCTGCCTGCCTGCCTGCCTGTCTCTGTCTGTCTGTCTGTCTGTCTGTCTGTCTGTCTGTCTGTCTGTCTGTGGGGTTGGGAGTTGAGCTCTTAGCCTTCACACTGAGCCACATCCCCATCCCACCATCCCAAGCACCTTCCTGAGACAAGCTCTTGTGAGTTCCTCAGGTGGGTCTTGAGCTTGTGTTGCTCCCGCCTCAGCCTCTCAGGCAGTCCCCACCACATCCAGCTTTTGTAACTGACTTCCCTCCTGGACACAAGCAGATAACACGTGAGCATCTGTTATGGTTTGTGTATAGTTGTCCCCCCCAAAGCCTCATGCAGTCTTGGGGCGGCTTCTGGAGTTCGTGATTACTGTGGGTGTGGATGCTGCACCTACCCTGGGGCAGGTAGTTGCATTGCAATGCAAGGAGGGAAGAGAAGCTAGCTGCTGGAGCTGCTGCCACCCCTCCCTTGCGCTCTTGCTCTTTGCCGCCGCCATGAAAGGTTGCTTTCTGCTGTGTGCTGCTCTGCCTTGGACCCAGCTGAGTATGGACTGAAACCTCCAGTAACTGTGAGCTAAATAAACCTTTCCTTCCTTCATTTTGGGTGTCGGGTATTTGTCCCAGCAATGAGAGAAGAGTAACTAAGACAGCATCTTTCTGTCATCATCTTGGGTGCTTCACAGAAACAAATTTCGTCTACATGTTTCACCTGGTGGAAATAACATGAGCGTGTGAAAATTAAGAAAACATTTTCGCGCCGATTTTTATATGACCATAGCGTTACAGGAAGTATGGAGAACACTAAAGAAGGCCTACCACTGAGTGGAGATTCCCTCAAGCCGTGTCTCTCCTGCACTTTCTCCACTGATTTTAATCCTTACTTTAATTTTGTGAGCTTATGATGTAAAAGCACAAATGCTTACTCACCGGTGTTGTTCTTTCCTCAGGAAATCCATCCCTCGCTGCAGAAGGATTAACAGGATGTTGTCCAATGAGTCCCTGCACGCTCCGGCCTTCAACCGCTCCAACTCTCAAGCCTCCATCGACAGCGCATCCGTGGAGGATTTCTGGCGGGAAATAGAAAGCATCAATGAGAGCAGCATTGGGGTGCAGAGGGAGCAGCCCCCCGCGGAGGCCAAGCCGCTGGCCGGTGAGGGCTGGGTCTCTTGTCCGGGAGCTCTTGCTCTGCCTGCCCCCTCTCTGTTCTGTGCAAGCAGAGACCACCGCAGCAGTAGGTGCATGAATCAGTAGCATTTGGCCAGCGACCTGCTCTGGCTGACTGGTGCAGGGGGCTCTAGCCAAGGCGTTGGGGCTGCGGGGAGCTGGGGTCCGGATGGGTCACTCCCTCACCATGGCTTAGGTGAGCTGTGCCCATCTACTGACCAGGTCACTGTCCTCAGACTAAGCAGTCTCTCCTAGTGGCTTTTACATCTGCATATTTGCCTGTTTTTTTTTGTTTTTTTGTTTTTTTGTTTTTTTTTTTTTTTTGCGGAACTGGGGATTGAACTCAGATCCTTGCGTTTGCCAGTCAAGCACTTATCCTACTGAGCCATCTCCCCGGCCCCCATGCATATTTGCCTGTTAATTACCAGAGAGCACAGGAGTGAGACAGACAGAACTTGTCAGCAAACTTTTCTTGGAAAAAAGGACTCTGAAGCTTTCACTTATATTAATGTATTAAAATGTCTGGTATTCCCCAAAATAAAATTTATGTTAAAAATTCTATTTCTTAGTGAAACTAAACAGAAGAAGGGTAGAGACAAAAATAAGGAAGCAAACAAAAAAAATGATATTTGTCCCTAGTTCTCAAAGAGAACAAACTTATTTACCACCTGGGATCAAAAGCATAGGGTGCCCGTGCCTGGCCCCTGCTGTCACCAGTGAGCAGACAGGGTACCCAAGAATGGTGGACACTAGAACAGTGATGTCCCTAAAATGCTTCCATTAAAGGCAGTTAGCCTCAAGACAATTTGCAGGGTAAACTAGAACTTTAAAAGTCTGTCTTATGTTTTATTCCATGTTCTACAACTCTGGCTTTCTCACCACTAAGATCATTTGGCTATGAGACAGTGAGCTGTGCACCACCTTTGGAGAGAGAGGCCCCGCTCAGGGGAACCATCTTCCTTTTGTGAAGTGTGTTCTCGCTGCTGTCCTTATCATGTACACGGCTGAGGGTTCTTCTCAGTTTGGTTAGAAATCACAAACAGGGCAAAGTGCAACTCCCTGGTCGCAGGGGCTCTGTGTGCGGCCTGCAGTGGCTTCTGCCTCTGTGTTGCAGCCCTCCTGTGTCCTATCGGCTCCACATTGCCCCTCTGTCCTTGGCTGCTCATCCCCCTCAGTGTCACAAGCCCTGGCTCCTGGCTGCCCTCGGTGCCAGCCGTGGTAGGTGCTACCAGCTCTTAGTCCACGCAGCTCAGCTGCAGTGCTGGAGAAAGGAATCATGAGGAACCGTACGCCCACGCAGTAGAAGCTCTGCAGCAAGCAGCGCCTGGTGTGATCTTACAAGGGTGAGAGGAGGGACAGAAAGCCAGAAAGAGGACCCACACACGTGCACGGTCTTCCGCTGGCTTCATCTTCACTTGCTGCTTGGGTGGTCAGAGAGGGGCGTTGGCAGTGGCTGGAGGGGGCTGCGTCACCACAGAGGGACCTGGGGCAACCCATAACTGCAGCTTGCCCTGGCCACTGTGTCCCAGGTGGCCGTGGGGCGTCTGCTGGAGTCCCGGCCAGCCGCAAGGTGCTGAGGGGAATGTCAGTGATGGACAACACTAAAAGCCGCCTCATGGGGACCAGCAGTCCCACTGCCACTTCCTTCTTTATACTTTGCCTTTTCAGATCGAGAAAGGCACAAAGACATCAAGGGAGCCACGTATCTGACCTCCCTTTTCCTTCCCAGCTAGTGGTTCCCATAAAGCTAGGGTCCCCCCTGTGTCCACTGCAGTGACATAGCAGTTTCGTTGATGTTTCTTGCCCTCTGGTGTAAGATCAAGCTTCACCAGCCCCTATGTGATTTTTCATTTGCTCCGAACTAGAATACATGGAAAACATTTTTATGTTTGCCAAGCTAAACTATGAAGTGCAGACTTACATGTTTATTTATAGGTATCTGTGCTTGAACTATTTGTACAGAATTTTAACATGCAGCTCAATGAATTTGGCGAGTCCATGCCCTCATATAACTCTACGCTGATCAAGATACAAGTAATATTTCTCTTGGGAATGGGCACTATTTCAGTTCAGAAAGCCTCCGCGTGCTTTACCCCAGTGTCACCCTTCCAGCGACCTGCCACCCCAGCCAGAGGCAAACCTTGGTGGTGTGGACAGGGCTGCCTCCTAGGCTGCTCTGGTGCTTGCTGACTTTGTGAGCACAGTGTTTCGGGTTAGGCCAGTGTGTCAGTAAGCCATGCCTTTTCTCACTGGGTAGTTTGTATTGCATATTTACTGGGCTGCCTCAACCTAGCACCCCTGGATGAGGTGCTTACAACTCCAGCAGGTTATGCGCTTGGTTCTGGAAATCCTGAATCAAAAGCACCGTGTCCCCTCCGCAGGTGGTGGGGAGAATCGGGTCTAGCGTCTGCTCTGGGGGAGAATCGGGTCTAGCGTCTGCTCTGGGCTTCTGGGACCCGTGCTGAGCCTCGCTTTGTAGGCAGCTGGTGGCCCCTTCTCCATGTCCTAAGCCTGGAGCATGGGCCCAGGTCCATGTCTGTCCTGTTTCCTGCCTTAAAGACCCCTGTTATGTGGGGTGACAGGCTCCATTTATTCCTGTGTGATGTTGCACAGGGTTTTTGTTTTGCATCTTGGTGCAGGGCCTGGGATTCCTCCTGGGGAGGAAACAAGTCTACCACATGAGGCAAGAAGTCTACCATGAGGCCTGCCTCCAGCTCTCAATTTAGATTGTGTGTGCACACACACGTGCGGGTGCTTGTGCATGCAAGTGTGTGTGTCCTCATGCTTTGAATTTTTTTTCTTTTTTGAAGTACATCTGACAAAACTGTATGTCTCTATAGTATACACTGTGACATCTTTATTGTACTTGAGTATAAATCTCACCCAAGTTACTTTCCTCTCTTCCCACCTCTTGACAATCCTTCATACAGTAGGTATGTCCCAGTACCTACTGTACATATTTTTGTTCAGGGTTTGTCATAGCTGTGCACAGAACAGTTATTTCAGTATGAGCTGCCCCATCTTTCATACCAAGTTTATTCATCTTATTTGCTAAGCAGACGTATCATTCTGATGGACTTTAGGCATGAAATGATAGTTAGACTTAATTATAAAAGTTGGTATTTTGTAGTCAACATTTAACAGCTTACTACAACAATTCCCTTAATAGTGCTTTTCAGTGGAAGCTTAATTATTTAGTTAAATAATTCAGCAATCTGCACCTGCTCTGTGCCAGGCACACTGCGAAGAGCTACAAGCACAGGAGGAAATGCTTCCTTTTCTCTTGGAGTTGGTAATCTAGTAGAAGACACAAAAATGTGTGGAATGATACAAGCAGATCTGAAGTGGGGGGAATTTCCTGGAGGTCGAAGAAAAGGTGGCCTTGAGATGACCCAGGCGGCAGGATCCTGAACAGATCCAGAGCACTGGCCTGGCGAGTGAGTGAGACGACCCGGGCCTGTGGATCCTCATTCCACCCAGGCTGCAGGCCCAGCAAGGAACCCTTCAGCAGAACTCCCTGCAAAGAGGCTAGAGGTAAGACCCACCCAGCTGATTCAGGAGCAGAACATCTTGCCAGAG